ACCTGTACTTTCTACTTCTCACATGTTGAACTCAAATACCTGAACTTTCTACATCTTACATGTTGAACTCAAATACCTGTACTTTCTACTTCTTACATGTTGAACCCAAATACCTGTACTTTCTACTTCTTACATGTTGAACTCAAATACCTGTACTTTCTACTTCTTACATGTTGAACTCAAATACCTGTACTTTCTACTTCTTCCATGTTGAACACAAATACCTGTACTTTCTACTTCTTCCATGTTGAACCCAAATACCTGTACTTTCTACTTCTTCCATGTTGAACACAAATACCTGTACTTTCTACTTCTTACATGTTGAACTCAAATACCTGTACTTTCTACTTCTCACATGTTGAACTCAAATACCTGTACTTTCTACTTCTTACATGTTGAACTCAAATACCTGTACTTTCTACTTCTTACATGTTGAACACAAATACCTGTACTTTCTACTTCTTACATGTTGAACTCAAATACCTGTACTTTCTACTTCTCACATGTTGAACACAAATACCTGTACTTTCTACTTCTCACATGTTGAACACAAATACCTGTACTTTCTACTTCTTACATGTTGAACTCAAATACCTGTACTTTCTACTTCTTACATGTTGAACTCAAATACCTGTACTTTCTACTTCTCACATGTTGAACTCAAATACCTGTACTTTCTACTTCTTACATGTTGAACTCAAATACCTGTACTTTCTACTTCTTACATGTTGAACTCAAATACCTGTACTTTCTACTTCTTACATGTTGAACTCAAATACCTGTACTTTCTACTTCTTACATGTTGAACTCAAATACCTGTACTTTCTACTTCTCACATGTTGAACTCAAATACCTGTACTTTCTACTTCTTACATGTTGAACACAAATACCTGTACTTTCTACTTCTTACATGTTGAACTCAAATACCTGTACTTTCTACTTCTTACATGTTGAACTCAAATACCTGTACTTTCTACTTCTCACATGTTGAACTCAAATACCTGTACTTTCTACTTCTTACATGTTGAACTCAAATACCTGTACTTTCTACTTCTCACATGTTGAACTCAAATACCTGTACTTTCTACTTCTTACATGTTGAACTCAAATACCTGTACTTTCTACTTCTCACATGTTGAACTCAAATACCTGTACTTTCTACTTCTCACATGTTGAACTCATACCTGTACTTTCTACTTCTTACATGTTGAACTCAAATACCTGTACTTTCTACTTCTTACATGTTGAACTCAAATACCTGTACTTTCTACTTCTTACATGTTGAACTCAAATACCTGTACTTTCTACTTCTCTCATTTTCCAAACAGCTGGTTCCTTTAGTCTGAATGTGTGTTTGATGCGTGATCATTATTCTTTAGAGTCATTGCGTGCCTATTGATTTGAACACGATCCGTGTATCCATCATTTCCTGGTCTTCTCTAAAGAAGAGGGACCAATGGAAACGTTGTCATGTTGCCGTTGTTCAGCATGGAAACATTCATTAGCTAACAATGACATTATTGTTCTATTAATATAAAGGGAGGTCAGGTACTCTTTAAAGCAGCTGCTAGTTATGGGAACTTTTTACTGAATTACATTTCAAAGCCTCTTTACTTTTACTTGAGTAAAGAAGTTTAGTCAGTACTTCTACTTTCACCAGAGTATTTTTAAACACGAGTGTCTGTACTTCTACTTGAGTGACGGTGCGTCCACACGGCAGCTTGCCGGTGGGCGTGTCTGGCCTGCGACTAACAACCAATCACATTAATCTCCCGCCCCGGACACACAAGCACGCGCTTTGATTGGCTAGAGCTTGTACTGGCATATGATTTGATTGGCTGGCGCTTCCTCAACATTCGGTGATGTTGTAGCCGTAAAAGTAGAGGTGTAATGAATAATTCTAATGGCTGACAGACATCATTAGTCTGAGCTCTGATTAGATCTGTGCTCTTCCTGCTGGGTTCATCTGCACTGATGGAAAAAGACCCTTTTAATTACATTAAAAATGCAGGAAAATGCCCCATGATGGATGCATTTCTGATAAGCACCATGTACAGAACATCAGAGGAAAACTAAGAGAGGATTAAGAGAACTGTATTTCAGTTGACTCTGCTTACTCTATGAAGGAGTCAACATGAAGCTCTGAATGCTTTGACTCACATTATATTCTTAATACATATTTTGAAAGATTGAATAAATTAAACTTCTTTTTTCAAATCCCATTTCTCTACCGCTACAAAGTTGTGAAAAACATCAAAAACCACTAAAAAATCTTAATATATTAAACAGAGCTCAGATGTTTAGACATCATATTATGTTTCACAGGGTTGAGTTTAAAAGACAAGCGCCACCACCTCCCAATGGTCATCCATTTAATTAGTAATACTGTATACATGGGGTAAACAGTCTCACTAGCTAATGTTTGCTTTCTGTGTTAACTTAGTGATAGTTAATGACACGGATAGCGTTATAACCGTGGTTCAAACAACCATTAATGTCACTTTCTATGTGAATAAAGTCATTTTAATGAAATAAAAGTGAACAAACTGTCAGCTGTAAGTTAGAATGTAAATTGCTACACAGATTATGATGAATTATATCTAAATATTTGTATTCAGGTACATACTCGTTTTAATTCCCACTTCATTTATTTGCCACTCTTTTTTCCTTTCTATGATACTCACATCTATGTTAGCTTCTGGGGAAAGCCATGGAGGAACACGGCTAAATGGGCTTGCTTTGGCAAACGTGATATTCTCCACTCCACATGCCCTCGTTCTCTCCTCACTCGTCCAGCCAAACCCACGCCCCTGGAACTTTGTATATTCCCAGCAATCCTGTAGTTTTCTGTTTGTGATATGTTCTTCTCCACTCCCTTGAAGCCTGACCCAGTATGACAGAGCAAGTTTCTCTCTTCTGATCTCCAGAGGTGTCTCTCCTGCTTCTATCAGAACTGCATTGATAGGGGATGACTTTATCGCTCCAATACACAGCCGCAATGCTTTATATTGTAGTCTATCCATTTTTTAAAGCGATGTTTTTGCTGCTGCTCCATACACTATACGACCATAGTCTATAGTCTACAACCTCATCATTGATCTGTAAATGTCTATCAATGCTTGTTTGTCTGCGCCCCAGTTGCATCCAGCTACAGCTCGCAATACATTTAATACTTTTTAGCATTTTGTTTCCACTTGATTAATATGCATTTTTGCTATCAAACCACAGTCCTAGGTATTTGAACTCATTCACCTTTGTCATTGGACAATCATATAGTGTTAGCTGTTGGCCATCAATCTTGTGTTTGTTTGTAAATACCTGTAGCATGACTTGCTTTCTGACATTTTGAATCCCCAGTTATATGACCACCTCTCCACTTTTTTTAATCGCTCTAGCTTCTCCATTACGTATGGGGCATGTCTTCCCTCATCCAAATAGTCCCCATCATCTGCGTACAGAGCCGATTGGATGCATGTGTCTAAGCATGTAAATATGTCATTAATCATGATGTTAAATAATATTGGACTGACTGCACTCCCTTGGGGGATACCATTTTCTATTTCTAAATAATTGGAAATATCTGCTCCAACCTTTACTCTAAATGTCCTGTCTGTTAAAAAGGCCCTTACCCAATAGAACATTCTCCCTCCAATACCCATATTACTCAATGTGATCAGTAACCCCTCCCTCCACATAGAGTCATACGCCTTTTCAATGTCAAAGTACACTATTGCCATTATCTCTTTCATTTTCAATGTTTTTCCCACATCATTACTCACTCTTACTAATTCCACATCCAGAGCTGATATTATCCTGTCTCTTCTCCTTCACCTTTTCATTCTCTGCTAGTAAGTGCTGTTTTTGCTGCCTATGAATATCACTGAGATGCTCCCCACTATGTACTGCTGCAAGTGTCCTTCCTAACATACCTGCCTTCTCTTCATCTGTCACTGCCAGCCTCTCCCCATGGATTTCCTTTCCCCACTCATCCGCTTAAACATGGACCAGACATCACCTAATGTTACTCCTCTGCCAATGGTAGAACACAATTCTCTCCATGTTCTCTTTTGTGTGTGTTTTATTGTCCTTCGAGCAGCTGCCCCTTTCCTTTGAAACTCTATAACATTATTTTGTGTCATGATTTTCTTTTCTCTAAGTGCATCGTTTCGCTCTTTAATAGCCCTGCTGCATTCCTCATTCCACCATGGCACCACTTTCTTCCTACCCTTGGTTGTTTTTTTGGGTATACTGTTCTCTTCTGCATTTAGTATATGTTGCGTTATTTGGCTTGTAATGACCTCTATGCTTCCCTCTGATGTTAGCAGGTGTACCGACTCCTCACACCATATCCTACATTTCCCCAATCAGCTTTAGCAAAGCACCACCTGGTTATTACACCTCCTTCCTGCATATATACACATTATTATTCATTTTAGTAAGCACTGGATAATGGTCAGTGGAGTTATTCAAAACAAACCATTCGCATGTATGAACCAAACAGTTTGACACTAATGTCAGATCCAGGCATGAGACTTTCCCCCTGTGTTCATCTACTCTTGTGCCATGTCCATCATTAAGGCATACTAGTGTTCTTTCCTCCAGCATTTCTTCCACTATATTTCCGTTACTGTCTGTATGGTTGCTGCCCCATAGACTGTTGTGTGCATGCATGTATGAGCAGCATTACAACTGGATTGTATATTGGATACATAAGCTGTATTGGACAATGGCTTGGATTTAATGCTGCAATAATGTCAGCTGTTCGGCAGATGGACAGCCAGAAAACTAAACTTAAAGGAACAGTGAACATTATGCCTGTCAATTCTGACGTTACGTCAACAGATGGCGCTGTTGGGATGGGATCTGTAATGGAAAAAAGGATTACCCAACACATGGCCAATAGATGGGAATTGTTTATTGTAAACTGAAAAAACTAAATATGCTTAATTGCAGTGAACACGAAGATGTGTTTTGAGAGCACCTGATGTAGTGAACATTTTCCCACACTCTTCACACCAGTATGGTTTTTCTCCAGTGTGAATACGGTGATGTGTTGTGAGAGAACCTGAACGAGCGAAAGTTTTCCCACACTCTTCACAGCTGTACGGTTTTTCTCCAGTGTGAATACGGTGATGTGTTTTGAGAGCACCTGATGTAGCGAAAGTTGTCCCACACTCTTCACAGCTGTACGGTTTTTCTCCAGTGTGAATACGTTGATGTGTTTTGAGATTACTTGAACAAGCGAAAGTTTTCCCACACTCTTCACAGTTGTACGGTTTTTCTCCAGTGTGAATACGGTGATGTGTTTTGAGAGCACCTGATGTAGCGAAAGTTGTCCCACACTCTTCACAGTTGTATGGTTTTTCTCCAGTGTGAATACGGTGATGTGTTTCGAGAGAACTTGAATGAGCGAAAGTTTTCCCACACTCTTCACAGTTGTACGGTTTTTCTCCTGTGTGAATACGTTGATGTATTTTGAGATTACCTGATTGAGTGAAAGTTTTCCCACACTCTTCACAGCCGTACCGTTTTTCTCCAGTGTGAACATGCAGGTGGCGCTTTAAATTTCTAGATGTTGTAAAGGATTGGTCACATTGCTGACAGCTGTGATGTCTTTCTTTTCCTTTCGGTTTCTAGAACAGACGGACAGAGAAAGAGAGAAAGTCAATCTAAAAAGCATAAATACACAAGTTAACACAATAAAAATTCACTTAATATAAATCTTGAGATAACAAAATACTACTTATCTGTTTGTGTTTATTATATTTGTATTATTTTTGATACAGTAATACAGCAATATACTAACCAAAGTATATACCAGAGGTGGGGGACTCGAGTCACATGACTTAACTCTTATATTTTTTGACTTGAGACTTGCTTGACTAACATTGATAAAAGACTCGACTTTGACTTGGTATTCATGACTTGAGACTTGACTTAGGCTTGAGACAGATGACTCGAAAGGACTTTACTTTTTAAAATAAAATATATGCATTTGTTTTTTTATTGTACGAAGTCGCTAGAGGGCAATGAAAGAAAAAAAAAAGAGAGAGAAAGTCTCTTCTCGTTCGCAGGAGAAAGTAGGAAGTGGAGCGCACAAGAGACAGCAGTTTCATTGCAGACTGTTTTGTTTATGTGGGGAAATACATACATTATTTGAGATATATTTCAAACTCTGTCATTTCGGCCAGGGGTGTAGAGTTATTTGTTCAAGCACCGGATCGCAAAACAGGAGAGTGTGTGAACCAGTCTTCCTTGACCTATGTATTCATGTCTGTGACTCTCACAGTATCTGCTGCCCACAGCTTGTTTTATAGAAGGAAACCTCCTTCACTTCATGAAATCTCTGCAGCACCAGGAGGCAGTAAAGTGTAACTCAGCAGAATCTGAGAAGAGCAGTGCCTTCACTGTGTTTACCTTCATTAGAACCACACACACACACACACACACACACACACACACACACACACACACCACACACACACACACACACACACACACACACACACACAACACACACACACACACACACACACACACCACACACACACACACACCACACACACACACACACACACACACACACACACACACACACACACACACACACACACACACACACACACACACACACACACACACACACACACACATTATGATTTCAGAACCCCACTCTCCATTATTGTTAATGTTGAAAATAAAACTCTAGTTTCATAACCACTGTCTTTTAACTGATTTAAACTGGGGTTATTCATCAGGATTTCGTAGGACTTGACTTGCTTGACTCTCACCCCAGTAACTTGAGACTTGCACATGTATGACTTACTCCCACCTCTGGTATACAGTAGTGTTAATTTCGTTGACTAAAACTATGAGGAAATATGTTCGTCAACGACCTTTTTTTCCATGACGAAAACGAGACGATGACGAGACCAACGGCAGTAAACAATAACTGCAACGAAATCATCATGCAATATCGTTGACGAAAAGTGACGAGACAAAAATGTAGTTTACTAAATAAAAACTATGCCAAAATCTCTCTTTACTTTCGTTGACGAAAAATGAGGAGACGAAATATTATCAAAGATAACGTTACATTTCTGATAGTCAGTTTTTCTCCCAGCAGATCCATTTCCGGTGCTGCGGCTGGGCAGCAGCTGTGTGTCTGTGGTGCGCGCGGCGGTAGATTTGAATTACACCGGGCAGCGGCACACTATGAACTGTCAGGAAGACTCGGGTCTAACTCATGGTCTCTAACTAACCTTATTTAACAGAAAATAAAATGGCAACAACAGGGCTTGGGAGCAGTGGTCGCACTCGCGTTAACCGAAAACCCCCCCCCCATGGTGTTACCATGATGTTAATGTTAATGTTAAAGGTGGGGTAGGTAAGTTTGAGAAACCGGCTCGAGATACACTTTGTTATATTCCATGGAATGCTCTTAACATCCCGATAGCCGGCCCGGCTAAAGTAACTGGATGGCCTACCTGCCTGTCAGCCTCCCATCGGGGCACAAACTTATCTCGTGCCCTCATTGGTCATGTGCGCGTTCGTGTGTGTTGGAGGAGGGGCTCTGTGAGGAAGTGGCAGATTTTCTCCGGTTGTGTATTTTCAAATTCTAGCGATCTCGAGCCGGTTTCTCAAACTTACCACCTTTAATACGCCAAAAATAGAAAACACAATGATTGTTCACGAGTCACAAAACACGAGTCCAAGTCGAGTCCGAAGTCTTTTGAGCAGGAGTCCAAGTCAAGTCTGAAGTCTCTGTGTGTGCGACTTAAGTGCGACTCGAGTCCGAGTCACAGACTCGAGTCCCCATCTCTGCAACAACGTCAAATTTCATCAGGCACTTGAAAACTCACCCGGAGAGGTCAGTCACATTAACGCATATGGACGGTTAGCAAACATGTTTAGCTCAGCATCAGCTATGTAATGTTAACTTAGCTTGCTACTAGCTTTGTAACTGAATATTTGAAAAGAGGAGTGAATGTTTGCTTGTCACACTTGTTTGCGTTGAGTGGCGTTGACATCCAACTCTTGACATGACATAAAGGTCGGTAACGTTAATCATTACGTTCCGCTGCCACCATCTACTGGCTAACGTTAAACGTAGAAAAATACATAGTTACATACATACATACATCTGTCGGTTTATAGGCAGGTTACAGGTTTATTGTTGACCACGTAACGTTAATGTTACAGGTTTATCAGGTTACCATTACACTGGGTTTGAGTGAGAGGATAGAGGAATATGTTTATTTATAGTAGACTTAAAAGATGTAATTAGAGACCCAGTGTAATTAAACAATACGGTTGCAGAGGTCACATTTGAACATTTTTGTCCACTGGCCAAATGGCTAGCCTAGTGAATGTTGAAATGTTACCAGCCACTCAATAGATTGCCATTGTTATGTTTGGCTGGTGCGTGCAACATACAGCACCAGCCACTTGCATGATTACCAGCATTTGGCTGGTAAATGGTGTTAATGGTAGATATCTCTTTTGGAACAGGTCATGTTTTAATATCACCAGTTCAGTATATTTCAGATAATATTGCAGCAATAGTTTTTTAGTTGCAAATGGCACAGAACAAATGTTTACTTTTAAGTACTTTTAACACAGTTTCCCTACGGGGGATTAATAAAGTATTTGTGATACTGATTTTTGATTCTGAAGTGTTTTGCTTATAAGTTGTTTGCATTTAGCTAAACTGTGATGTTTGTCCTCATATTGCATTGCAATAGCCTGTTTAAAGTGATCATATAACAAACAACTAATCAGTACTGATACTGTATGCTAATAGATATAGGAGTGATAATAATACAGTAAATGCTTTGAATTTCTTAGATATAGCTGTGCAGTATTCTTAACAGACTGGATAGCAGCAGACAATAGAAGGCTTATTACAACCAGAAGAGACATGAGACTTTTATTTTTTAGAGACCTGAGAGTTGGACTCGTGACCAAAGACTTGAGACTTGATCAAGTCTCACCCCACAAAGACTTGAGACTTGACTTGGACTCGTGACCAAAGACTTGAGACTTGACTTGGACTTGCAAAAAAAGACTTGTGAACATCTCTGCTTAGCAGTCATCAACAAGCTTGGGCTGTTACGTAGCAGACCCCAGTACATCCATAGAGGCTCTCGGCGTAGGTTTGTTGTCGCTGGGTCGGAGCCTCTCTCCAGCTGGTCCTGCGCGACCGTCCCTGCCTCCCTACGTCATCACAACAAACCTCGCACGTGCATTGGCAATCTGAAGGCCCTGGTTTGTGTCGACCGTGTCATTCTGCTCACACCACCAGCATCCAGTAGCAACGCCCCCACATTCATGCTGCTGAATACCCGCTCCCTCAATAATAAAGCACCACTCATTCAGGACATCATCACTGATAGGAAAACGGACTTTGTTTGCCTAACGGAGACCTGGCAAAATCAACAAGACTTTTTCACCTTAAACCAAGCCACACCCCCAGGCTATATTTACCTACAGAAGCCCCGCTCCCTGGGTCGGGGTGGTGGGCTGGCTGTTATCCACAGAGCAGAAATCCCGATAAAACAACTAGCTGTGGTAAATACAACCTCGTTTGAGTGTATCGCCTTTTCTCTGGCTGGTTCATCACAGCTACAGGTTGTCCTCATATACCGCCCCCCCAAAGCCTCCGCCATCTTCATGTCTGAGTTCGCTGAGCTGCTCACCTGTGTCTGCTCCAGGTCTCCATCCACATTACTGCTTGGTGACTTTAACATCCATGTCGACTCTAGTACATGCACCTTTGCCTCTGAATTTCTCACACTACTCGACTGCTTCAACATCACACAGCACGTCCAAGGTTCCACCCACACCAAAGGTCACACGCTGGACCTAGTGTGCTCTATAGGCACCCCTCCCTCCCATCTCCAGTGCCTGGACCTAGCTGTTGCGGACCATCTTGCCATACTCTTTACTGTTCCTGTCCCCCTGCCCACTCAGCGTGCAAAACGCACCATCACATTCAGAAACACAAAATCACTGAGTGCACCAGCCCTGACCAGCATGATAGCAGTGCACCTAGCCTCCATTCCCCTTACCACCACTGTGGATGGCCTGGTTGCTCGCTACAACTCAGCTCTATCCCTCAGCCTTGACTCTCTAGCCCCCCTCAAAACCCGGACTGTCTCCTTCACCCGTTCGGCCCCTTGGTTCACCACTGAACTCCGCGCCCTGAAGGCTTCTGGTCGTCGGCTAGAGAGACTCAAAACAAGAACTGACCTCGCCGTCCACCACGAAGCATACCAGGACCATGTAAAGGTCTACAAAGAAGCCCTCTCCCTGGCTAGGTCTTCCTACTACTCCACCCTCATTGGCATCCAACAATCCCAACCGAGAATGCTGTTCTCAACCATAAACCGGCTTCTCCGCCCCCTTGATCCCCCCCCATCCCCCAGGTGCTCTTGATCTCTGCTCGAAGTTTCTGGATTTCTTCCAGGCAAAAGTTGATTCCAT